AAATACAACCAGGCCAGTAACGCTGCATGTTTCGGTCAAGTTTGCACTTAATTTCTTTATTAGCTTGAGGCGGGTCGAGAGGGTAGGAGGAGGTGATAGCAGAATCCTTTACTTGACCACTAACTGTAACGTCGCTAAACTCAAATGCGCACTGGACCTGATTCGTAGAGGTGGTCAGAGGGCATTTGAGTATTAATTAGGGCGGCAGCAGTTTCACAGGTAAGGAATTTGTCTACAGACTGAGAAAAAGTAAAGTGATGTGCTTTGCTTTGCAGTTGTTCAGGAAGGCTGTTCCAGATGCGAGCGTAATGAACTAGAAAGAAGTAGTGGCGTAGGTTTTTACGAGGGTTGCAGGATTTTTTGTAAATGAGCGTTGGACACTTTCAAATGCGAGTCTGGAACATTGGGTGTAAAGGGAGAAGAATGCGGGACAGAATTCGATGATTGATCGTACGCATAGCTTAAAGATTGCTACCATTGTATCTGGAAGGTGGCAGGATCGCAGTATTAGAGAGCTGAGCCTGCGTGCTCATGCAACCTGGAAATGTACCTGGTGGGAAAAGCTAAAAGTACAGGAGTATCGGAGACCGAGGTTACGGTTCGAGGCTTGGACAGCAGGTGCTTGAGTCCAAGGAAGCGCTTTAGTGGGGAGAAACGAAGTGTCATTAGGTCAGGAGGTCTAGAGTAAGAAGCTGTGCTATCATTCTCCTCCACAGCCTCATGTGTGGGCTGATTATTTACCATATCTCCTAAATCAGCAGTCGATCTCGTTGGCGTGGTGGAGGTCGGAGATAATGTTTGTGGATGCTCAGAGATAGGAGTGGAGGGCGCATGGTCATGAGCGCGGGGTACAGGAGCTGGGTCCAACAGACAGCTTTGTGTGGCATTGTGGCACTGGTCAGCGCAAGTACTGGTGGGTGGAGATGCAACAGGTTCTGGTGGCTTTTTGGTAAGTTGTCTTTGCATTCTTGTACCAGCAGCTTTAGGTTTCAAGGTATGGAATTTTTTGGTAGATGAGAGAAGAGTTCGGGCTGTTAGCAGACGCGCAGCATCTTTTTCACCCCGGAATTGAATTGTTATCGGGCAGCACATGGATGGTTTCGACTTTCGAAGCCACCGAACTGTACACATGGTATCCAGCATGCCACATGCTGTCAAGATGGCAGTTTTGGTGTGCTCAAACGGAGTTCGATCAGGTGCGTTGAATACTAGGACCTGGTGCCTACATTTGATGCGTTGACAAATCTCTGACGCAATCGTGTCAATTAGAATAGACGCTTTTTCTAAGTTTGTAGGATCACATGTTGCATCAGGATTTAAGAGACGTGCAATCGATTGTATGGCTCGCATAGAAGACGTTTCAATTTCCATATTGTGTAGACGGATCATGAGATTTTCCAGGTCTTTCAGGACCTGAGATTCTACTGGTAGTTGTGAGGGTTGAGTGCGGCCAGGCTGCGGAAGCAAAGATATGTCGGTTAGGACTACTGAACAATCTGTGGTTGTCTGTGGTACAGTTTTTTCCGGCCTCGATGGATGTGGGGTTGGGGAGCTGGGTCTTCTGGCTGCGAGCCGCCTCTTTGGATATACTGTGGAGATAGTTGATGGGGATTCGGGGTCTGGCAACCGCTTAGAGGAAGACGGGAGTGGTGTCATAATGAAATACTTCAAAGTAGGTTGAGAAATAGTAGTGTTACTTTTGAGATGAGTGGCGTTTCCGGTCAGAAGCGAAAAACCATTTGGTGGAAAAGGTGATATTCAGGAAAAACTGAATTGGTGGGCAAATGGCGGCACGTCGTCAGGGGCCACTATGCAGGAGAAGGCTAAACGCGTTGGGGACTGACACCTATTAAGCCTACTGAGGAAGGGAGACCTGTTTAACACTGTGGCCGCAGATAATCAGGGATACCTGGTGAAAAACAGTTACCTAGTATAAAAATGGTTAAAGACCTATGGGTGGGCTATAATCAAAAAACGTTTCTACAACACCTGACCTTGAAATTTTGTGTGCCTCATAAGATGACGGAAGGCGCCATAAAGCAGGCCATCTTAAGTCACTTCATTTCAAATAACTTGATATCCCTTGAGATACATGGATCCCTCACAAACTTTTTTGCGTCACAAAAATGCGCATATATAGAGAGAGTTTAACTCAGGCCAAGGACGAATGACCCATATCAGGGACCACCAGTTCGACTTCCCAGAAGCCTTCAGTCGAGTCTCACAAGTCCCGCCGCTCCACAGACTCGATCCTCAGGGATTCAAGGGAAGACTCCACGTTGGACCAAGGCGGTCCTAACAAATAAAACATTTTCAGTGGAAGTAGGATCGGCTTACGTTTCTCTGGCACCGGTCTACGTTGGAGTTTCTTAGGGCTCCATTTTGTGATCGCTTCTATTTCAGCACTGCGTAAACGGCCTTCAAGACGTTCCTTCTAGTCCATGTCCACTTCCATGGATTACTTGAAATCTTGAAGTTTCAACGCCAGCGCCCCGCAAATGGATGTCGAAGCTGCAAAGCAGTGGTTGCTTAACAGGCACCTCCACATTCATATGTCATTCAGAGGAGACTCAGCAAAGGCCCTTGTGCATGATGGGAATTAACCATAAGTCATTACGATGATGGATAAAGATTTTATGGATCAATCCCCCCTTAAATATATCCTTACTTCATCAGAGAATATCAACTTGTACAGCATTCGCCATCTAACTGTGGTTTAACACACCTTCCGCCAAGAAAAGACTGGACAAGTGCAGGTGTGTGACGGTTCGCGCACCTCGGCGACCCACCAAACTATACTGGAGAGTGATCCCACGACACTCGCAGGGTCTTTTGCCAGATTAGTCAATATTTAGAGGTTCGATGTACAGAGTATCCTGGACTTCCAGGTTTTGGGCTGAAACCTCTTCGGTGATGAGTTGCGTTAAAGTGGTAATGTACTTGCAGTTCCCGCCAGACACCGCTGCCTTGCAGTCCATCGTTTGAGCCAAACGCCTTGGTTAAGGACACTAATCATTCTGCAGTATAGCCATGGTCGCCATGGCGGTGTTTCAGCCCGCGTGCAAGCATGAATTGCGCATATTCAAATGGACTCATGCCACATCGACGGTCGCGTGTTGCTGTGGGTGGACGCCTTGGTCGCTGCATAAATTCGGACAGATGAGCGGGATTGGGTTGCTGTTTACGCCTACCTTCTTTCTCTTTCACATAGTTTTCCTTCCGGCTCTCCCCATCCATCGGTGACTCACCTCTTGTAGGCTTAGAGCTTAGGGCTGACGAATTCGTTCGTACTGCAACGGCATTGCAAGCAACATCCGGCCAGCAACTTCCGCGATGTTAACAACACACACGGTTCAAGCTCAAAGCGCACACCTTCATCAGGCAAAATGTTTTCTCATTTCGCTTTGGTACTGCCTGAAATAACCTTCCTTCGACGGTAGCTCACGCTGTGTCTACTACCCACTTTGAAGTACTAGGCGCTTTCTAACCCGAGCGCTTGCGCCGGCAGGATTACTGCCCTGCGCTGAGAACTAAAAGAGTGGTTCCGCACCTTATTTTTGCCTACGCCTTTCACGCGAACGACAAGCACAAGGATGACACAAGAAGCATGCGCGAGATCTCCGATCCTGTGCACCAGTCCGTGAATCCGTGATTGGTAGAAAGGCCACCGAAGGCCGTTCTCGCCTTCGACATTTGCTACGCGCCTACAAAGTGTAAAGCTATGGTGCAAAACGTGCTGTCTTTGAAAATGCGAATAAGAAATTAGAGAACGACAGTGGAGTCTGTGGAGCACCGGGTATATCGTCAGTCTCATTAGTTTTGACGGCAGTATGATAAACTAAAACGACGCACAAATATGGAGCGCTGCAATTACGTCAGTCAGGAGAGCTGGAGCATTATCAGGTCCAAGGTCACCTAATTTGAGGGAGGATAGCTAGAATCGGCCGAGACTAGCAGATTCTCAATGAGGTTATCAAGAGTAGCAGAACATGATTACCTTAAATTACATCCAGCACTAAAGGCTTATGTGACTGGCCATCTGCTACGCATACCGAATCCCCGCTTATTGTGGGAAGTGCTGCTTTATTTTTCCCATATTGGGGTGGCGAAACCAAGAAGCGTACAGAATTTGACATGACGGGATGAAATTAAGGATGTTACGAAAAGTTTGTGTGTTTCTTCCCTTCCAGAACGCATGTCCACTTGTACCAACCAGGGACTGGATTAAGGCAGACAACAACCCTGGTTTTCGCCCCGGCATCGTTTGGATTGACACGTATGAGATAGCTTATACAGAGAATGATGTACTGAGTCAGGTTAGTCAGCTTTTCAAACTGAGAGGATAAACACATTCCAGAATTTCATGACAACTCGGTTGGTCTTTGGAGGATGATTTCAAATCAGGTTCAGATGCTTAAAGGCTATCTTGCTAACATCCGGCTGTTTCGGTCATGCCTGGTGTTGTGTCTATATTGGATTCATTCGGACTGAGAACGTCACCAATTGTATCCTAAACCACTGGAGCTGGACAGAGAAGAGATACGGTTTCTACCCTTCGTTTTCAATGGGCAATATATGCACAGTGTGGGTTAAAGTTCAGAGAGTTAAATTCCTCTACAAGCGATAGGTAATTGGATGACCTATTACCTTACTGAGACGGGACTAAATCAGGGGTGGTAAAACCAGACGTAAATGAGATCCGATTCAAACAATTGTTCGTGCATAACCGTGACTGTGAGATGTGTGGAACATCAGAAAGTACCGACTGATGGCGGCAGATTGTGTGTTCTCAACACCACACCTATTATTTTCCAGAGGGTACCGTTGAAACGCTTAACCCGACTTTTACACTGTGGATTACAAGCCGACGTATGACATATAATGGAACCTTTCTTCATAAGGTTTTCGGCACCTGACAACGTGAACGATGAACCTCTGTGGGAATGGATACGGCCTGGCGGGTTGAGTAAATGGAGAATTTGTTTGGGGCAGTTAATCACAGTTGCTAATGTTATAACTATGCACGCGCATGCCATAGGAATCTAAAGAACTCGACACACATCGTGAGCATATAGCGGTCGCGTATAATAAATGAAAAGGGACTCTTAAAATCCAAAACTGAGCGCCCCGACGTTTGTGCTGATTTAATGGGATTACCGTAGGATTTTCAGAATCTCGGCTTCAGCTCGGCAAACACTTTGCAGGCTGAAATAACCCGCTTGGTGTCATTGATATAGTAGAGGAGATTCTCAACGTGAAAAACGAAAGATATGGGTTCTTCCTGAATGACAGAGGGTAACGTAATTCTCCAGCTCCCCATAAACGCGCATTTTGCGCAACAGAACGTCGACAACGTGGTTGCGTTTGCCACGTTTATGGGTACCACTATATATGTACTAGGTTGGCTGAGTCCTCCGGTGCCGGTTTCGTTATCTGTCACCTTACTCTTATGTCCACCGCCAAATGGGAATCTGATCTAACGCTTATCGGTAATCCCTTGGGTATTACTACAGAAGGACGAATAGCATATTTTGGAACACATCCCTTTCAGTTTTTCGGATATGATGATATTGCAAAAGATTCGCTGAAAACATGCTGGGAGCTTTTCGACACCAAATGGCAGGCGACGAAAATGAAACAGGTCATCACAAACTTCCAATGTTATAAAATGTTTGTCGGACTCTGAGATCCAAGTTATGTAGTGTTGTGACTCACTGAATGGTCGTGCAGCTCTGTGTTAATCCTTGACTCCCTGTCCCACCCACTGTGGCGTCTTGAAAAGGCACGGTAAATTCAGACAGCCCTTTATGGAGACAAAGGGGTGTTATCACAACTGCATTTATAGGGTAAACGCAGAACCTTCCATAAGGTCGTGCTAGAATTTCCGTAATGGAGCAAGAAGCGTCGAGCTGAAGATTCTCGCTCCATATTGGCTGGCATCCTGACCAATCAGGGCGTGCCTTCATTTGTTTTGTATCCTGCACGTGACACACCCGTCTAAATGAAGTAATTTTCGGTTACTTGGGATGGCTGACCTCCGGACGCCTTCTGATTGAGGCGGATGTCCAACCGACCACTGCCTGGAACTCACCTTTGACGACTTCTCTGGAGGCCGCCGAACGTCTGTCCGTCTATGTGGCTGCGAGCATGGCGATTAGGGATTCGGTACCCTCCACTTTTGAGCTATGTTACGGCTGTCCAAATTCCATGCGGCGTGGTTTCCTTATTGAGCGCCAAATTGCCTGAAGTTGGATCCCTTGATTTGGCCGTTCGTATGATCTTATTTGTGACTCGTGCTTGAAGTAGTATTAGACCCTGCGTCCACCGTGGGGACCATTCCCGAGGTTTTCGAATCAGTATCTAATCTCTGTGTGAGTGTTGTTGCGCAACTTCCGCCAGTCTCCCTCTACTGACTTTCCGCATGGCAGTGAAACGACCCGCATAAACTTAGGGTTGTAGGCTGAGCAGCTCGGACCACAGGCATAACGGTGCATTCTGCTGGCAGGATTTGCTAAAACGGACTAAAGTGAGAGGTTCTCTGGCGCTGGACGCCAGAAGCTGATTAGTCGCTGCATCGCCTATGCTCTCTATGGTCTCGAGCTTGGCTGCAGTTGTGGCGGCCACAAAATCGTCAGGTTGTGGTGTTCCCATGAATGTATTTTGGCCATCTGCATTTGTTTCATTAAAAGTGGCAACGAATGGTACTGAGCTGAGAGTTCTCGCTATCTCTGTTGGACACGCCAGCGTAGGTGATGCAATCTTCAGTATCCCTTTTGGTAATTTGAAACACTTGATAGCAGGATTTGCTAAAACGGACTAAAGTGAGAGGTTCTCTGGCGCTGGACGCCAGAAGCTGATTAGTCGCTGCATCGCCTATGCTCTCTATGGTCTCGAGCTTGGCTGCAGTTGTGGCGGCCACAAAATCGTCAGGTTGTGGTGTTCCCATGAAGGTATTTTGGCCATCTGCATTTGTTTCATTAAAAGTGGCAACGAATGGTACTGAGCTGAGAGTTCTCGCTATCTCTGTTGGACACGCCAGGGTAGGTGATGCAATCTTCAGTATCCCTTTTGGTAATCTTGAAACACTGATAACGAATATTGAACAAGGAACTTTAGGTCAGGATATTGACAGTGTCCGCGAGACCAAGGTCACAAGGGAGTTTGTGGAGTATGAAATTTGCGAGCCGATCGTGTTCAGCTGCCCCCGGTTTCCACAGCTACAGTTGAAATTCACATGCATCATCAAACTGAGCAAAGCCGGTTTGAAACATGTCCTCATACTTCGTCAACCAACTTTCAAAAGTCCGTCTATATTTAGCGTCCAAAATGAATTCAGGCATGGAGCTGGCAGCAGCAGCTGCGGAAACGGACGGATGTCCATTCGTTTTTGTCGTATTCGTCGACATTCTGTGCATCGGAGATGCAACAAGCCTAATTTGAGCCCCTTCGAGCTGATTGCGTTGCTTTCGTGGAATTACTTGGAGTTGCTGTGCTGAAATTGACATCGTGTGCTCGGGTTGCCGCCAGCTGTTGTAATGGGGCAAGAAGCGTCGAGTTGAAGACTCTCGCTCCACATTGGCAGGCATCCTGACCAATCAGGGCGTGCCTTCATTTGGTCCGACTTGAAATCCTGGAGTTCCAATGCCAGCGCCCTCCAAATGGATGTAGACGCTGCCAAGCAGTGGTCGTTGGACTGGCACCTTCCTCTGAATGATGAAAAGTGCGTCCATGTATCGTTTGGAGGGGATTCAGCGAATGCCTTTGTTATGCATGGTGAAAAGGGACCAGAAAACATCATGAAGATAGATGCCAAAAAAGATTTAGGCATCTGGGTCTCCTCAAACTTGTCCTTCGCACCACACCATGAGAAATCGGCCCAAAAGGCATTCGCCGTTTTACGGATGATCCGACGTACCTTCTCCCGTATTACTCGCATGGACTTCCAAATACTCTATGGGGCCTACGTCAGACCGCTCCTGGAGTACGCCAACCAAGTTGTCTACTCAGGACGTACGAAAGACGTTACCCTCATTGAGCGTGTCCAGCGGGCCGCCACGAGAATGGTTGCCGGCCTCAAGTCCGTGGACTACGAAACGCGTCTCGCGACGCTTGATCTCTTTCCCCTGGAGTACCGTCGCCTCCGAAGGGACCTAATTCTTACCTACGCCCTGTTTGAACAAAGCTTGGCAAACAGGTTTTTTACCGTTGACCCAGCAAACACCCGGCGGGGACATAGTAAGAAAATCTTCAAGCTCAGGGCACACACATTCATTAGACAAAACTTTTTCATTTCGGGTAGTAGCTGCGTGGAATGACCTTCCTCCGACGGTTGTACACGCTCCTTCTCGAACCCAATTTAAAGCACTATTAGACATTTATTTATGCGAATCCTCGCGCTGGCGAGCATACTGCCCCGCGCTGAGAACATAAAGAGCAGTGCTACACCGTTTTTTCACTTGTGCCTTCCAGGTGAAAGACAGCCACTGACCGACAAGAACAAAAGCGACCCGGGAAACTTGGGCAAAAGCCTCGATCCTGTGTATCAATCCGTGAATCCGTATCCTTCAACATGAATCGATTCATCGTCCCGATGTCGCCGTGATTTGTGGCGATAGGCTTGGAACCTGGAGATAAGTTAGCGAAAAGTGATGGCTATTACATTTTTACCGCAGTTAGGCTGTTGATGGAGAGCACATCGCGATCCTTGCCCGATGAAATTTCTATCTTACCGTGCAGCTTCAGGAAATCATGCCCGAATAGGGCACCGGTGCAGAAGTTTGACATTACAAAGATGTTCAATCCACTGTCTTCTCTGATGCCACTCATACACCTTTTGCAATGCACTGTTGATTCAAGTCCCGCTGCGCGGATCCAATTCCCTCCTTCTCGGCGTGGTCTACCGTTGCCCCTCGAGTCCTGCGGAAGACGACCGATTCCTCATGGAAACCCTTGACCAGCTCTCATCTAACTACCACTTCACTCATCTCCTGATGGTAGGTGACTTCAACGATCCCAAGGACTCTTGGATGAAGCTCCAACGCGTCGAATCAAGCAGACTTTGCATCGGCGCTGACCGAAGTCGTTCAACAGAGCGCTTGGACTCAACATGACGTTGCACCCACCAGATACCGCGCAGGCCGACTACCATCCCTCCCGGATTTGGTCATCACCAACGAAAGACGCTTTGTCGATCAAGTGATAATTAACGCTCCACTAGGACATAGCGGCCACTGTGTGCTGACCTTTGATTTTATCTGCTATTGTGCCAGAAATCCCGAACAATTGTGTATGTCATGGTTGTACGAGGGCTGGGATACTGCCAGGGCGCCCACACTTAGACAGGAGGATGATTAGGGTCCTCATCCAAAGCCTTTGGCTCAAAAGCCTAACCGCAAGGCAGCGGTGTTCGGCTGGAAATGCAAGTACACTACCTTTTTTTACGGAACACGTCGCCATACATGTTCCAACCCCCAACCTGGAGGGCCAGGAGACTGTGTTCGTCGGACCTCTACCCATGGACCAACCTGGTATGAGAGACTCTGTGAGCATCGTGCGGACACTCCCCAGTATAGCTCAATGGGTCGCCGAGGTACACAAACCGCCACACCACGGTAAAGTCCAAGGACCTCAAACTTGCATTTGAAACTTATGCCGTGTAGACTTTTCAGTAATGCGCATCTTTCTTGAACAAGTTAACCTTGGACCGGCTTCGGTGGAAGACTTGTATAGGACGATTGTCCGGAAAGTTCACGAGGGTGACGCGATGTTCGTCCCAAAAAACAGCATTCAGTCGGATGAGCCGCAGGCTGCCTAAAAGAATTCGGCGTCTTCTTGAAAGAGGTCCCAAGTATTTTCTAGAAAGTTGACATCAGGAGACACGGAAGATGAGTTGGCATTTCGTAAAATGCGCGACCGCTGTAAATCAGAAATCCGCCAATGCAACATACGAAAACAAGCCACCATTCCGGACCTCTCCCGGAAAAAGAGAAATGTGTTGTTCAGATACAGAAACAAGCCATTCGCGTTCTTGAGGGACAGGAACGGGAACCCACAATTCTTATAATAGTGGTGTAGTGGTTAACGGCCCTATGGAGTCTCTAGTGAACAGAGCAAATTACTAATGTAAGCCAGATACAAAGTCTTAAGGAGAAAAATCCAAGTAAATCTTGACTCACAGTTCAAAATAGGAGATTCCGTAGTCCCGTATTCCGTTGAACCACCACATCAAGAATAGTTCTATCTTCCTGGTATCCCAGATCTCCGGTGATCGAAATATTATTCCACAAGCGTGAATATATTGGTCCAGTGTTTGTAGCTGAAATGTTCGTTCACGTTTAGTGTTAGCAGCGGTCAAATATAGCCAACCGGCGGTCACAACAACAGTCACTCAGCAAAAGTCTCAAAGTCACGTTGGAGCCAAACAGCGGGCGGTAGAGGTTGTATTTCCGTAAAACGCTTTTGTACAGCGATGTGACTGATAATGATGGTAAAAAAGAAGATGATACTGAACATGAAAAAAAGCAGTTTACAAGTGCTAGAAGTCCGAGAACAAAACAATCCGAGGTAACTAACATTTTACTCGTCTAAGAACAAGCGTGGATGGGCGGAATCGACTGTTGCACCATTTTGCTAAACGCATGAAGTATGTCAGCATGGTTCCAGTGCAAGCACGTGCCATCGTCGTTAGCTCTAGATCGCCCCTAATGGGCGCACGAATCACTTTAAACGAAGTCCGTGCTGCGGTCAAAATTTGAAGCCCACACCTTCCGGGTAGGTATATTTTGCTTTTGAGCATCATCTTTGTTCTGTTTTGATGTCCAAAGATGCAGTCAATAGATATCGGGTGGTATTCAGCCTACTATCAGCTTGGCAGCGGATCACATCGGCATCTTGTTACATTCATTTCAAGTCAGTAAAGGTCTTTGATAAGTCCATGTCCTCCCACACCTACTTGTTGAGGTTTTGACTTTTTGGCGGTTATCCTAGTGCTCCCATAATCGACTCTTGTTTAACTCTCCTTTGTAGCCACCTTTGCCGGACACATTATCGTCATCATCCTAAGCCTTCACAACACCCACCTGTCAGCATAATGTACTCGAACCCATTGCATTCTGGGTTCTCTTCCTGTCTGTTGAGGCAATGGCACATGACAGATAGTCAACTAACTCCACAAAACCTCGTGTTTCCCGTGTTCATCAGGTGTGCGTTCACTTTACCTCATGATGTTTTTATAGCGCAAATCCTGACGCGTACGAACTGATACCGAGTCTATTGGACCAAAAAAGAGTTGGTGTGAATCGGCTACGTGAATATTTAGGACCACTAATCAAACGAAAACTTTCTGCTGTACTGTTGTTCGGCGCAGCAGTGCGGTCAGAGGACAAAGATTCTGTTGGATCCATGGGGGACTCACAATCGGGTCCAGTGATTTCAGCTGTTCGGTTGTTGAAGCAAGAGTTTCCATCACTCGTGGTCATATGTGACGTTTGTCTGTGCGCCTACACAGACCATGGGCATTGTGGTGAGTTATGCACTCTTTTCTATATGTCTCCCGCAGGAATTTTGTTTGAAGACGGATCGATTGATCCGGGTTCGAGTGTGGATCGTCTGGCCCAAGTAGCGTGCGCGTACGCCAAGGCAGGTTGGTTTACCTTTCTCTCGCAAGTGAATTCGATGTCCATTAAGCCTCATTTTACCCGAACACACCCTTGGGACGCACTACTTTAGCGGCATGCCAATCAAATGCCTTTTTTCATTCAATTGAGTTGCGGGAAAGCTAGGCATTTTTTCCTCTCTGTGGTCGTTCCAGCGTAGCAACTTTCCGGTGCTTAGCTGTCATGCCACCCGAAGAAAGCATGAGTGTTGAGACTGCCAGGCTGTTCAAGTCTAGACGGGAGCACTCGACATACCGAGGTTGGATTCGAACTACGGACCTTCCCGTCAGTAAGTTCGCGCGTTAACTACTGAGCTATCTCGATCCCTTACGTGTGCTCGTGGTGCGTCAGTAGTTCTCTTTTATAAGAATGCTTAAAGCAGGCACTGCGGATGTGTCAGCTTTGGCGAGATTTATTTGATTCGACAGTTGGGTGGTTAGAATATTAATTAAAGTTCCCAACTGTCAAATCATGTGAGCAGCATTTTAGGGTTTGACATACATGTCACACCAACCATGATGAAATGTGCGCTTTGATCTCCTCAAGCTTGTAAAAGCGTTGTCATTCGTTTGGGGAATTTGTACGTATGTGAAAATTAGTCATGAGTGAACTGTGTTTTGAAGCTCCACCTGAAAAAGTCGTTTCGTGTTTACTTAAGACCGCATAGAATTCGCAAAACCTGCTCAGATCTATCCGGAGTCTCACACCTTAAGTAAGGGAAAAACTGGCACTTCCGAAGGTTCTTCAGTTTGTGTGGGCTGACAAGTAGTGAATTTGGGTGCTAAATTTTCGTATTCACTCCGATAACGTTTCGGTCAGCTTATCGTAATTTTTGTTTACAACTGTTACATTGTTCATGAGTTAGTTGCCCATGGCCGATCGGCTTACTCAGCCGACCCACGTTGATGAGGTGGCCGGCTTTAGGTGGTGTCGGCTAGATGGCATCAAATTTCGTTCCACAAGATAATACCATGCCAGGAGGCTAAAAGAGAGCAGGCATGCGAAGACAGTGAAACCCCGTAATACGGTTAATCGTATTACGAAATGATCTGGGGGAGTGCGCGCTGGAGTCTGCGCTAGGAGTGCGAAGGAAGTGAGGTGTATCTCCGGGGCCACAAGCGTGTACATAACTGTTAGAAGCAGCGATGCTGCCCTGTTCCGAGGAAGGACGGTTTAGAACAGGTGATGATAATGCAGTAGTTTTGAAACACAGACCTTGCGATGAATCTGACGCTGCTTCAAACGCCTCTGCTGTGTGCGGAAACATCACAAGCGAGATATCTATATCATGTTGCCTGCGCCTTCTATCTAAGCCAGCGCGGAGTAGTTTAGGCCATTAGTCGTCTCTGGATAGGGACCCACCAAAACCTCTAGTGTCCGCTGCCAGACTTTTGAGTTGTAAACTCAAGGAGGGTTACCTCACAGAAACCCTACCTTTCGGCCTGGACAATCTGGCAAGTATCATTTACCTGTAGTTTTTCCAGCAACGTTCTTTCCCAGTGCCCCTATAGGCAAACATATTTGGATCATTCGCTTATCACTTATCTGGTCAACGTTCTCTACTCAATCCACTGACCACTAGCAATAACTAATGAATCACTTTGATAACTGCACCCAACAACTGTCGACTTTCTTACTGTACGTCAAGTTGCCGAGCAGGTAGTGCTTTTCCCGGACCTCATACTGTCCTACAGTTGATGTGTGCCATGTCTCCGGAACACGTACACAAGATTCAAGTTTGGTAATTCACCCTGAAGCACTAAGGATGAACTCTTTCACCTATTGCTCTACGCTTGTCCACTAGTTTGTGAGAGTTTGTGACTGATTGAGTGGAAGTTGCACTGGGTCCTCCGGATGAAGGATTATATTCTACTGAACGGTCTTCTTTGCACTGCTTTGTTATCCTGCTCAGTCACGCTCATTTCCACTTCAAATGACAACCAGTGCCTGTTTTTGTCCCAGTAGACAGCAGTTTTGAACACAGAGGCGGTGTCATGAAAACCGGAGTGGGTTCAGTCCTGCCGGAAATGCATATTCCAACATGTTCTGAAAGGGCGAAACTCCTGGCAACCAACAATGGTCGTTTTTACTAACTCGGGTAATGCTATAGCAGTATTCATTGAACATAGGTTTCTCCCACAGTTTCTTGACCCCCCTTGAAGCGTTGTGCGCCAACTCCCGTGGACGCGTGAAGGTCCACAGTAAGTTATTCTCTCAGTTGGGCGATGTGGCTCAGTAGTTAGAACGCGGATTTACTGACCGAAGGCCGATGGTTCGAACCCGACCTTTGCCTCTCGACTTCCCCTGTCTAGGCTTGGGCAACCTGGCAGTATCCCAGCCCTCGCGCTTCATTTGGGTGGCATGGCAGCTAAGCACCGAACGAGTGTTACAACTGAACGAATTTTCTGAATTTACTCTATCCAGTGGTGTGAGGCGAGGCTGTCTTTTTCCTCTTTTCTTTTCAACTTCATCCATTCGACTATGGAAGACTCACTCCAAACATTAAATCCCCTGGACTCAAAATGTTCGTAGGGTGTTCGCCGACAAATAGCGAGTACGCAGACAACACAGATGATGATATCGTTGTGCAAACAATATTAAATAAACAATTCCGTCTCACGGTTTGGTATGCGTTTCATACCCACAAACAGTAGAGTGATGCCGCAAGGTTGGATAAGTTCAGACACGAACCTCATGATTGCGGATTAGCCAACTGATTCTGAGGACAAATCGCTCTACGTGGGTAACTGTATCAGTCCGGGTGATCAAGCTAAAGATTTCTTTTCCATTTGAATGGAGACGTCTAGAAGGACTTTTGTCCACATGCATCATCTGTAGCACAGATGTGAAGTCTTTCTCTCAGGGGGTCGAGATTACAACGCTGTGGCACACTTTAACGTTATGTAGATCAGACAGCTGACACTATAAACCAAGGACGTTAAGAAAACTTTCAGTTTTTGGTCATAGGAGCATTGTCCGAGTCTGGTGGGAACATCGTGTCAGTAATATCCTGCGGTGTTCAAAAGTAATAACTCGCCAACGGTAGATGTGCTGACCACACTCCATGAGTTGCACTGGCTTGGTCACACCTTCAGTATGCCAGTCGACCGACTTTCTTCAAGTGCCCCTTTACACAAACCCTCGAAGGGTGGAAACAACCCAGGCGAGGTCAAACAATGACTTGGCAGTGACTTAGATAATCCATTACAATTAAATTCAGCTGCGCTAGTCACTTCTGTCTCCTGGATGGGAAGCCGGAGACGTCACATCACTGATTGGATACATTGCCAGACATAGCCCAGTCGCTCACTCATTTACGCGCATTCATCCAGTGTGTTGTCTTCAATACAGCTTCCCCTCGCAATCCTGCTTGATGGAGACTCCACTCTTGGGTTTGTGCGCTCAGTTATGACAGCCTTTGGTTGACGAAGTGCGGTAAACCAGCAACACAGATTACTGTTTGTTTGGCGTATTTTGTGCGGGAGAAGGTAAACTTGTCCATGCAAATGTCTGATCTACTGTAACTATCAGTCACTGGTCCGTATTATGTGTTTTCGGATAGGAAGTAGTTACTTCTGTGCACAACACGCAAGCAAGCCCACTAACAGTGAATAAAATAGTATTGCGCGTTTTATGTGCACGAATCCGTTGGGGAATCGGAACCAGATGTTCAGTGGCGTAATACTTCTGTAAAATCAAAACCCAGAGAGATGTGCCTCACATAGTGTCACTTTTTAGAAGCAACTGAATATAATAATAAATAATAATTATTCTCCAGCTATAACACCGTTTTTGTACCTAGCTGCCGTGCCACCCGAAGGAAGCATGAGGGCTGGGATACCGCCAGGTTCCCCAAGCCTAGACAGGAGAAGTCGAAATACCTCTCGAGTTTGAACCACAGACCTTCCGGTCAGTAAATTCGCGCTCTAACCACTAAACACCAAAACGAATAATTACGTGAAACCAGCTTTTCTGTTCAACTCTTCCATCGCTAAGGTTATGTCGCGAAACCGGCAGCACTTTCTTTACGAAGAATGCGCCTTTTGACTAATAATATACGTTACACTTATGCCAAAGTATGCGTACTAAACGCATAACAGTGACCTCAAATATTTTTCTAGATTCGAGTAGAATGCAAATCTGTGTGGTACTTTTGGAATCTTTTTCTATGTGAGCCGTATTCCTTGGTCCAGCAGAATACCAGTGATTACAAGGTACCGGCACTTTTCACGAGGTGACACTTGAGGACAACTTTGTCGTAGAAAGCTGTCGGTTGGAAGCAGGACATACTTTTGATAGACTTTGATATGTTCTAATCGGTTCATATGTTCGAGTGAAGTGCTTAGCCTGGTAGCTACGAGCAAACCCGGTCGTACTAGTCGACCAGCGTTTAATCGTTCAGAGGTTTCTTCAGATACGATTTGCTACAGTCAACACGTCATCATCTAAAATTCAAAGTATCCGCTTAGAGTTGAATTGTACGTTTTAACATAGGTTGGCAGTGATACTCATAGGCTTAAAAAAATTAACCCAGGTCACTATCTCTAAGTCCTTTTACACCGCGATGATATCATTATTCCTGACTCTGTGACGAGAAATGCGACGATCTCTTGAGAAACAACTGGGAGACAATTACTGGATTGAAATAACCAATAAACCGTCACATTTTACTCAGCCGGTGATCAACAAATTGTTAGTACACAAGAGTTTTCATCATCATTCTGAGCAGTATACTCCGTCCAGACATTGTTGGTATAACATTTGTAATCCACTGCCGATCCGTTTTACAGTATGGCGGCCGAATCACCGGATGATAACTCTTTAAGCTGTTGGATTCAATGAGTCTTTTAACATAAATTTATTCGTACATTCATGATACTGTACGCGCACACACCCAACTTCAACCACAATACTGTGTGTGCGTCACCCAAAATCACGGTACGTTGGCAGCATAGAAGTTGGCACATCTCGTTTCGAAACCATCAGATGTGGTTGAGTGTTGGGAGGCTAGGTGGTAATGACCACAAGACTGACAAAATAAGGAGCTTTATCTTGACTGGAGACTCAATAAGACCTCATTGCTCGACAGATTTAGTATTCTATAGAGGAAAATGTCGGTAGCTCAGTTAGCGTAGATGGTGGTCGTTGGCTTGTTCGCTGAGCTGGGCAATTTGATTGCAAACGTTTCATCACCAATCGAGGTGACATCATCAGTGCGTTATTGTGGAGCGTAGTAGTGCGTAGCGGTGGGTTGGTGGTCGCATATAGAATATAGTGTAGTATAGTATATAGTATAGCATATAGTATAGTGTTGTAACTGTGCGGTTCACCTATTTGGTTTGTATATTTCACATTTGGTCAATTTCCAGAAACAAATCGACTGATTTGAAGGTGAGTGGATTGAGACATATATATTTGCAGAACCGCCGTTCGAACGTGACGGTGTTGACGTCAGTTTGGTTTGTTTCATAAATAGTAAGGAGAATTTAAAAATTCCATATTGGATCTTGTCATACAGTCTTTTGAATTACTGCAAAGCTGTTTTGTTGGGAATTTCGAAGATACTGTATACAGAAGTTGGTGACCACCAGTCAGCGACAGGTGGCGGACTAGTGGGATGATTGACTCCTATGGAAACAAAATCCCAGCTCCACCTAACCTTCAATCTTATGGTTCCTAGTACGTGATCCGATGTCGACTGAAGAGTTCTCAGAAGAGTACTCGTGTGGTTTATGACGTTTCTTCTGGTCAAATCGCCTAAGCTAATCACTTTGGTGGTCGGTCATTTAAACTTGCGGTTTCGAATATCCGTTAGAATTATATCGGTGTTGATGACTGCCATCACGTACGAAACATTTATCTGAGCTATTCAACACAAGTTGATTTGGCCTTACAGGACGAGGTTCGGACTTTGCTGAAATTCATATTACTCCAACCAGGAGTAACCTGTTCAACCCGCTTTTGACCGTTCCTTTTCAACACTGAATGCGACCAGTACGCTTTTTGTTGTTTCAGGAGCTGATATCGTCGCTCCGTCTGACATGATGGACGGCCGTGTCAAGGCAATCAAGGAGGCGATTCGGTCCGTCGGTTTGTCTGAAAAGGTGGCTGTGATGTCATACTCGGCCAAATTTGCATCATCCTTCTACGGTCCCTTCCGGTTTGTGATTCATTCATTTGTGATGACCGTTAATTCCCTCCGGTTTTATTTTCATCTGGGAAACGGGATTTAGGATTTGTGAAACAGAAACCATAGTCGTACGCACGAGTTTCTGGAATTTGAGAATTCGGCTTGTTAAGGTCGCTCTGTTTAGCCCTGAAAAACGTCTCAAGGAAAAGGACTGAACTACATTTCTTAGGTCTCCCCAAATCTTTCTGTTCTATGCTTAGCTGGTCGCGCCAACTGTTTCACGTTCCTGCTAATCTCGAAATAGTTCAGCGCGAAACTGCTAACCGGAATATTTATGGTTCGAACCAAACCCTGGCTTTTCGACTTCTTTTATCTAGACTTGGGTAATCTGGCAGTATTTCAGCCCTCAGCTTCCGTCGAATTTACCGAAAGAATTCCACGGTCGAACGATCATCTTGATTGTGAGAATGCGTATTTCTTTGGCTGACACGCATACTTGCTCATGCAGTTGGAGGTTGCACAAGGTTAGATCTCAAGTTTCTGCTTCTTTCGAAGCTTGGGCAACCAGGCAGTATCCTTGCTTTCGTGCTTCTGTCAAGTTGCATGGGAGCTGTCCGATAAAAAGTTTGCGTAACGAAACCGAGGAACTGACTAATCCCCCCGTTAATTGGACGAATACGTATTCTGTCTGGCTTCGAACTATACGACGTTACGTCGCTCTGAAATTTTCTTTGGAACTTAGGTCACCTTAATGTCTACCGTATATGGCATACGATGTTACCTAACAATGAAGGCTCTGGATTATCTAAATGAAACCTACCCAGACAGAAGAACCACTCCGAAGGATACTCCACGGCCAGATCGATGGAGAATTTTTCGTTTCTGGAGGAGCCGTTCTAGACTTCGCTGGAGGGTCTGTGGTTTTGTTCTTCTAGGAGTTACTTCGCTCCCAAAGAAAGTCCAGGGACCGCATAGTCTAGAAGGAGGTACAGCAAAAATCCACATGTTTCAAACCCCGGATAACAGTTTTGAACAACGTATCTTTGGCTCACAAGTTATCCCATCAGTGACCTCTAAAGTAAGCAAAAGCTAGTTGGACTGGGTGAGCCCATTCCATTCCAGAATCTCTTCGTCACATTTGGAGCCTGAACTCGTTACATCTCAAGAGAACATCGAGCTTCGGTTTCCTCTTAACACTGCTGTTTTGGTTCTTCTGTTTGAACTTGAGTAATCATGGCGTCATCGAACATCGCAAGTTATTTATGCACCGTTCACTAATTTTATTGAGCGGGTTCTTGTAGGAAAATAATGGTAGCCGAAATCAACACACCAGTAGTAAATGCTAGTGCCCAACTGGCATATTACAACGGGGAAAAAAGGAGGGGTTGGAGGGGAAAAGGTGTGAGGACTTAGTATGAAACATTCTTGTCCTTGGGCGAAACTATCAAGAGAATATCCACCAGCGAGTGTGGAGTTCTTTTAAAGCTACTCCACAAGATGGACATTCTGCTAGAATGCTCAGGAAGGTCAGGTTCCTGAAAATAATCCAAGAATGCTCGAAGCCTACCGAACCCCTCAAACTTCACAAAAATCTCAATGAGGTAGCCGGCAAGCATCCAGGGCAGTCAACTAACCAATCAATCAATTCAGCAACGACCGACGAGTGTTCAGGCACGCCACAGAAGCACGACCGACTGTCATAAGTGTTGAGGCATTTCATAGAAGCACGGTCTATGATGATAGGTGTTCACCGAACGCCTATCGGACAGCCTGGATCAATATCATAAGTGCCCTTAAAATAGCGTGAGGCCCCTCGTAAATTCTTCACTCGCTTGTTCCCAATAAAACTGAGACACTGGAGCGGGAACAGCAGTTAGTTACAACATATTTATGGTTAGATACAACAATATGGATTGTTGGGGTAAGCCCTGTGGACTTTGGATATGCGTTCCTTGTTATGACGCTGCTTGTGAGGTGAATGAGAACTCCCGAATATCCTGCTACCCGTTTCACTTTTTCTCATTCTCTTCAGGTAGGTCAGACCTTGAATTGCCATGCTTAAACATCCAATGGGACGCCTATGGAGTTAGGTATTCATTTGCGAACTTTGATGGCGTTAACGGGAGACTCTGTCCAGTCTCTCATTTACAATATTCTTCGGCTGATCTGCTACGCAAATGCCATGTTGTATCTCAAGGAGAACATTTTAGTATTCTGAATTTCACCGTGATTGAAACAGGTGGCTTGTATGTAGCATAATCAGTTGAAGAATACTACAAACATGAGATTCAAGTGAATCTCTTACTAGCGTCGTTTGGAGATGAGACATTGTCCTCATTGTCGAAGAGAGTAAAGAACATGGCGGCACAAGCGTGTTTGGGTGAATCGATAAAGTTGTATTGTCCGTTGGGGCACAATTCGTATTCAGAAAGGTTAATACCGTGCTCATCAATATGTGGACATTGGCCACACCCTCTGTGATCCAAACTTAGTAGCCCGTGAATTTCTTTTACGTGTCTTGATATTGACGTGGGCTTTGACTGAGGTGTGGCATCTAAGTCCAATGTGCACATCTCCGAGACCTCTGGTCGCTTTTGAGAATCCGCACCGCAGCGACAGAACGATGTACCAACGAGGTAGTTGAAAAAGTATTCACTTTTGTTGCTTCATCATATTTTACGCATACGATGTCGACATTTACCTGAATGAGTGCTGTTTTGTCTGGGTAATTGAAAGTATTCTAGGGAGATAGGCAATCAACCTTGAACCGGAAAAAAGCGTCAATGGCTGTTAATCGATGTCACTGTTAATTACTGCTGTGAAATCGCAACTCCCATGTCGGTCCCTACTTCTTGTTCCCCGCACTGTGGTATATCAAAAGACACGGAAGCTTGAGACAGCTTTTTATGGAAACAAAGGGAAATGATCACAACTGTGTTTATAGGGTTATCACTGAATTTTCCACAAACTCACCCTAGAATCTTCGTGAGAGGGCGAGAAGTGCCAAGGTATAAATACCTGATCCCGTTTGGCTGGTCTGACCAAGCGGGACCTGCCTTCGTTCACTGCTTAACCGGCTCGCGACACATCGGTCCAATCGACATGATTTTCGGTTATCTAGATCTACTTGCCTCCGGACACACAAGAGTTCTTGCTTTCAATCTCCCTGCAGGTCTTCTGAGTTCCGAGAGTTTAGAGATGCTCGGAACTTGGAATACCTGTTAGTAGCATACTGCTACATCCATCCCATTATTTTCCTCTTTTCACACGGCTTTTATCAAGTAAATGGTAATTATATGGCCGGCGATAACTTATCTGTTCAGCTATCGTAAATGTTGACGTCCAGCCCTGAAGACCTAGGCAAATGAGCTTGTTCTTTACTCGTTACACACACGCACACTTGCCAGAAGCAGTCTGTCTTACACTTCTCTGATTGAAACCGCTTACTTGGTCTGACGTGTACTGTGACTTTGCTTTCATCGTCTGTTCGTGAATGATGGCATTTGGACGGTGTGTTCTCGAGTGCTCCTGAAGCCATTCCAGCCACCAAGCAGTCCGTTGTCGAATCTTCTGTCTACCATGCATTACAGTTGTTGATACAGGCCGCGGTGAGAATGACCGTGTCAATCATCAAAGTTCATCATTTGTGTCACCGTCATCGCAATTTCGGTAACAGACCTGCGTATTACTTCACAATACTGTTTCTGGAAGCACTCGAGCCTATTCACCATTCGGGATGCCGATAAGTATTCATCTGTTGACATTTTCTTTATAGTGATGCGGCGGACTCGGCCCCAGCATTTGGCGATCGTAGATGCTACCAGCTGCCCCCCGGTTCTCGCGGACTTGCCATTCGGGCTGCGGTAAGTTTGGCTCAGATGTTTTCGTCTGTCCTCATCATCGGGATTTTTTAACTGGGCAACGTTTCGCTTTTGACACAAAAGCTTCATCAGGCCCAGTGAGCGGATCACCAAGTTGGCCAGGTCTTAAGGCAGACAGAGAACCAATCAGTAAAAGCACTTCAGATTATCACCCCAGATGAGTATTGAATGTCAAGTAAAGAGTTGTCAGTTAGTGTGGTTGCCTACATCTTGTGTTTGATGGGTTGGGGGAGTTTCAAATTATCTTCAGTCGGGTTTGGTTCCCTTATCTTCCACCTCAAGAAGCTTCAACTGATAATGCACTTTGGGCACCACTGGTAGATTTCGCTGCACTGTGTGGGGTTGTGAGTGCTAAGACAATGTAGTTGGGAGAGGGAAGGTGGCTGGGTTTAAGTGCAATTCAGATCTAAGCTACTTGTGTCGATGACTGCTTCTGATAATCGCAAACCAACACGGTTTGGGATCAGCCCAAATGACATGGTGTGTGGTCACAGGTCCCCGTGCTTCTCGTCCAACTTAAAGGGCGAATTAACGGTTGAAGATTTAGCAACCGTGGAATAGTTTGTTACCCAACTGGAAGAGTCTCCTGACTAAAATAGTGTTATACGAGTCCGCTGCTCAAATACTGACTGGTTACTAACCTAGATACCATTTTGCCACCAAACTGCTGCAACCATGTGCAGACCAAATACGGAGATCAGTTAATTGAGGATGAAATATAAGAAATCATTTTTTAAAATTCAAAATAGACCTCAGGTGCCCATTTTTCCTAATACTAGATGGTAAAGCTTCACTTGAAACACAAATGTTGGGGAGGCAAGCAAAGCTTAGGTTGCGAAATATCGGCAACATGACCTTGAAGACACTCAAGCCCAGGAGAAGAGCTGCAACCATGTTTGGAGTGATTCTTAAATGAAGTCAGTTTTTTACTAATCGATATCGATTTTATATAACAGTACGATAAATCAGGATATGTATGCATGTTCCGAGGAGTGCGACGTTTGTTTACCGAATAATTCGCTTTTAGGAAACAACCGACTTCCGCTCCGTAAACAAGCGGTAGTTTTTGACTGGACAACACACCTACCCAGTACATTCTGGCGTTATGTAGATGACACTTTCGTTGTGATTAAACGTGACAAGGTCAGTAAGTTTCACAACTATGTGAATGATATGAATCCACACGTCAAATTTAGTATGGAGACGAAGTCATTCTTAGACACATAAGGTCCGGGAAAAACTGGAAAGCACAGTGTATGAGAAGCCAATTGACACCGGTGTCTGCCTATTCGAAGTCGGTATTCGCCAAGCCTTGGAGGCGATGACATAGTGGGTTAGTTCAGGAACTGGGTGGCTGCTCATATAAGGCGATGTCTTTGATCCAGTAGCGCTGTTGACTTCTCGATTGGGCCATTTCTACCACTGTCATCAACCATTGGTGAGTTAAATCCCGGGGTCCCCATCCAGGAGGCGGCAGTTGTCGACCCGACAAGGTCCACGGTTTATGGTTTTCATTTGCCAGGTCATACACCGTTCACCTCATGACCGCTTCCGCTCAGCACAGGGTTACTGATTAGGAACAACAGAGTATGTACAACGTTGCCGTGTTAACACCTACGACTTGGTCGGTCTTTGACACCCCAACACAGCAGACGACACACGCCACTGTAGTTAAGGCCTTTTGTTATGTGTTGTATGCTCCGTTCATTTTCCATACTCTATGCCTTTGTCAGACCCGACCTAAAGCTGCCACCTTGACGTGGTGGTCGGGCTTGTGTGCTGCAATGATCCCGTGGGCTACACTGGCTGGAACTTCGTTCCACAAGGTACAACCATGCCAGGAAGGCCAAAGGGGAGCAGCCAAACCAAGAGCAGCGAGACCCCGCACTACGAGCA